CTTTCTGTTTGATAATCTATTCTAGGTTGAGGAGATTGTAGACTCTGAAATTTCCTCACCATCAAGAAAACCAAAAACAGTGTCAAAGCAGTCCCATAATGGTGTACATTTCCCTGAATTTGGAAGTGAAATTGAGTTGAATGAACCTGAGGCAATGATCAATGCCACTTCACCTCCTGATGATGTCACAAAACATGTTCATCAGTTGCTAGAGTATGTTAGAGGTAAACATGACAGCAAAGGTGATATCACCAGAGGAGAATCTGTTGTTAGTATTGATGTGTGGGATTTTGCTGGACAGCACCTATACTATGCTTCTCACCCTCTTTTCTTGTCGTCACGGGCTACTTATGTTTTGGTATACAACCTCAGCAAGCCATTACATGCATTAGCTGAGCCCTATGTTAGACAAGGAACTCTTGAAAAAAAGTTGGTAAATCCAAACAACGAAACAAATCTAGAGAATTTGTTATCATGGCTTAATACAATCCACAGTGTAACACAAGTAAAAGAAGAAACATATTATGGTGCTCCAAGGAGACAGACGTATCTGCGGCCACCAGTGTTCATTGTAGGCACGCATGCTGACAAACCAGCTGAAGACATTGCAATGATGAAACGTCAAATATATGAGAGAATTTCTGATAAAGAGTATGGGAAACATGTGATCCGGCCATTGTTCAGTATTGATAACACAAGCTCGCTGATAGGTCCAAAGAGAGGGACTCTCCAAACAGGTATTAAAGTACTAATGTATGGCTAATGTAATGATTATAATAATAAATGATCATAACTACAAGTTTCAGTACTGCTCAGAAATAGTGAACCATCAAATGTGTTTTCAACTTGTTGACCAAAACAAGTCAACGCATTGGTGCATTTTCACCAACACATTTGGAAACTTGTTTTTCATCAAGGCATTTTGCCTTTGTTATTTATTTTGTCACTTCCAGTTCGTTTTCTTTTGTGCACTTTTTCAATCTAATGAAAGGACACGTCAAACTGAATTAAAGATGGATGTGACTATAAAAATTGAAGGGTTGTATGCATATCTGCTGATGTCAAATTTTAGGTTATATTTTGCTTTTCTTTGCTGTGAATTGCCAGTTGTCTTAACCTCAAAAAAAAGACAAAGTGTTGATTTCATGTCAGGGTGGAACCTCAAAGATGCAGACTTCCTTTTTAATTTGGAAAATATTTATTATTTTCCAAGTTGTAGTGGTGGAACAATTTCGCTCCTTCGCTCCTTCGCTCCTTCGCTCCTTCGCTCCTTNCCTTTTTAATTTGGAAAATATTTATTATTTTCCAAGTTGTAGTGGTGGAACAATTTCGCTCCTTCGCTCCTTCGCTCCTTCGCTCCTTCGCTCCTTTGCTCCTTCGCTCCTTCGCTCCTTCGCTCCTTCACTCCTTCACTCCATCAGTCCTTCACTTCTTCACTCCATCAGTCCTCCACTCCTTCACTTATTCACTTCATATTAGACATTTGGAAACCGGGGGAGGGGGGTGGGAGGGGGAGAACTCCCACATGAAAAGGCAAGGGATGCTCATCTCGAAAAATTTGAATTTAACTCCTAAGGGAGACTAACGTGGACATTGCTTGAAATTCATTAGACTCCTAAAAGATACCACTTAGATTTTATCACTGACGGGGAAGATTTTGGTCACCTGCAAGCAACGTGTGAATCGAGAATGTCTCAAAATAACTTTGCAGATTGAGACAGAGATAAGGCCTTTGGCAACAGCAGTTTAGCCATAGTAAATTTTCGTTGCTGTTCGAAAATGGAAAGTCATTGAAGCACGTTTTCACATGAAAGGTACAAATATCACAACACACCCCCTGAATGGGAAAAGGCTTTCCCTTGTGAGATAACTTTGAGAATTCCTAGGAATTCCTAGGAATTTCCTAAGAATTCCTAGGAAAAAATTCCTAGGAATTCCTAGGAATCTAAGGTGTGAATTTTCACGGTAATTCGGACTCGGAATTCCTAGCTAGGAATTCCAAGTTTACATAGAGCTGACTTGGAATTCCTAGGCTAGGAATTCCAACTGAAATATACTCACCTTGAAAATTCCTTAAAATTCCCAAAAATTCCTAGGAATTTCNATGTTCAGTTTGCATCATGTGATAAATGATCTGAACTTAACTATTTGCTCTAGGTACCTTCTAATTTACTATCTTTCAATTTTAAAACTGTCAGGTTACCTGCCTCTCTATAAAGCAGGTAATACCTTTCTCAGCTGGGCAGTTGATGCTAAAGAAGGGACAAGTCAGAGACAATTTCATCTCAATACCGTCTGAAACCATCACAACCTTTTTCTGAGTACCTGTGGCTTACATGTAATCAGTGTATCACTAATCATTTCTTGTTTGATATTCTATTCTAGGGTAAGGAGATAACAGATGATATCACAAAACATGTTCAATATGCTGCTCATCAGTTGTTAGATAGTGTTGGAGGTGAGCATGTTGGTAGTGATATCACTAAAGGAGAATCTGTTGTGACTATGGATGTGTGGGATTTTGCTGGACAACACCTGTACTATGCCAGTCATCCTATGTTCTTATCATCACGTGCGGTGTACATTTTGGTACACGACCTCAGCAAGCCATTACAAGCCCCAGCTCAGCCTTGTGTTAGACAAGGAACTTCTGAAATTTATTTGGCAAACCCAAACAATGAAACAAATCTGGACAATTTGCTATCATGGCTTGTTACAGTTCATGGCATAGCACAAGTCAAAAAAGAAACAGATATTGATGCTCAAAATCTGCCCTATCTGCATCCTCCAGTGTTCATTGTAGGCACACATGCTGACAAACCAGCTGAAGACATTGCAGAGATGAAATCACAAATACAGGCGAGAATTCTTGGTGCAGAATATGGGAAGCATGTGGTCCCACCACTCTTCAGCATTGATAACAGGTGCTCAAACATTTGGAATAAGATGAAGAGATTTGTTAGTCAGGGTCTAAAGAAACGAAATCATCAAACAGGTATTAAACTACTAATGTATGGCCATTTAACATGTAGCAAGCATCATCAAGTTATCATGCACCCAGGAAGTTTGGAGAGCAGAAAAGGTGCAGCCGAGACCAAGTCTAGCTTTTTTAGTGCTCTTCAAACTTCCCAGGAAGGTACATCATAACTCAATTTTGCACAGCTAAAAGTATAAATCAATTGTGTTGAAGCATTGTCAATGGAAAACATTTCTCTAGTGAAGCAAGATTAACTTTGCTCAGTTGCCACAAGTGTGCATCAGTGGTTTTATTATGCATGCTTATGTCTTCTGAGTTTGATAGCATAGCTTTACTGGCTATGTTATAAGTAAAATTGATTCATTATTGATAATATATAACTACCACGTTATTTTACATATTGACTAAAGTCGCACACGCTTTTAACTCGTTTCGGATCTTCCGTTACATAGAAATTTATTTCCCCAATGATC